ACAGGGAGGCAACAACGAGTCATGGTACGTGATGAGGTATCACAGTGGGCACCTGTGATGAGCGGGGTCCCACAGGGATCGGTCCTAGGACCAGTGCTATTTTTGGTATATGTGAACGACATGATGGAAGGGTTAGACTCAGAAGTGTTCCTGTTTGCAGATGATGTGAAGTTAATGAGGAGAATTAAATCAGATGAGGATCAGGCAGGACTTCAAAGAGACCTGGACAGACTCGACACCTGGTCCAACAACTGGTTTCCCGAATTTAACCCTGCCAAATGCAAAGTCATGAAGATCGGGGAAGGGCACAGAAGACTGCAGACGGAGTATAGGCTAGGTGGCCAAAAACTGCAAACCTCGCTCAAGGAGAAAGATCTTGGGGTGAGTATAACACCGAGCATGTCTCCAAAAGCACACAACCAGATAACTGCTGCAGCATATAGGCGCCTGGCAAACCTGAGAACAGCGTTCTGATACCTTAGTAAGGAATCGTTCAAGACACTATACACCGTGAATGTCAGGCCCATACTGGAGTATGCAGCGCCTGTTTGGAACCCGCACTTGATCAAGCACGTCAAGAAATTAGAGAAAGTGCAAAGGTTTGCGACAAGGTTAGTTCCAGAGCTAAGGGGAATATCCTATGAAGAAAGGTTAAGGGAAATCGGCATGACGACACTGGAGGACAGGAGGGCCAGGGGAGACATAACGACATATAAAATAATGCGCGGAATAGACATGGTGGACAAAGACAGGATGCTCCAGAAACAAGAGGTCACAATTGGAAGTTAAAGACTTAGATGAGTCAAAGGGATGTTAGGAAGTATTTCTTCAGTCATAGAGTTGTCAGGCAGAGGAATAGCCTAGAAAGTGACATAGTGGAGGCAGGAACCATACATAGTTTTAAGATGAGGTTTGATAAAGCTCATGGAACAGGGGGAGAGAGAGGACCCATTAGCAACAAGTGAAGAGGTGGGACCAGGAGCTGAGACTCGACCCCTGCAGCCACAGATAGGCGAGTACAAATAGGCGAGTACACACACACACACACACACACACACACCACACACACACACACACACACACACACACACACACACAACAGACTTGACACGTGGTCCAGAAACTGGCTTCTCGAATTCAGCCCTGCCAAATGCAAAGTCATGAAGATTGGGGAAGGGCAAAGAAGACCGCAGACAGAGTATAGGCTAGGTGGACAAAGACTGCAAACCTCACTCAAGGAGAAAGATCTTGAGGTGATCATAACACCGAGCACATCTCCGGAGGCACACATCAACCAGATAACTACTGCAGCATATGGGCACCTGGCAAACCTGAAAATAGCATTCTGATACCTTAATAAGGAATCATTCAAGACACTGTACACTGTGTACATCAGGCCCATACCTGGAGTATGCAGCACTAGTTTGGAACCCACACTTGGTCAAGCATGTCAAGAAGTTAGAGAAAGTACAAAGGTTTGCAACAAGGCTAGTTCCAGAGCTCAGGGGAATGTCCTACGATGAAAGGTTGTGGGAAATCGGGCTGACAACACTGGAGGACAGAAGGGTCTGGGGAGACATGATAACGACATACAAGATACTGCGTGGAATAGATAAGGTGGACAGAGACAGGATGTTCCAGAGAGGTGACACAGAAACAAGGGGTCACAGTGGGAAGCTGAAGACTCAGACGAGTCACAGGGATGTTAGGAGGTATTTCTTCAGTCATAGAGTCGTCAGGAAGTGGAATATCCTAGCAAGTGATGTAGTGGAGGCAGGAACCATACATAGCTTTAAGATGAGGTATGACAAAGCTCAGGGAGCAGAGAGAGAGAGAGAGGACCTAGTAGCAATCAGTGAAGAGGTGGGACCAGGAGCTGAGTCTTGCCCCCTGCAACCAAAATTAGGTGAGTACACACACACACACACACACACACACACACACACACACACACACACACACACACACACACACACACTCACTCACTCACTCACTCACTCACTCACTCACTCACTCACTCTTGTATAGCCACATCAGGAGGAAGACAACAGTCAAAGACCAGGTGATCAAATTGAGGACAGAAGGTGGAGAACTCACAAGAAATGATCAGGAGGTATGTGAGGAGCTAAACAGGAGATTAAAGGAAGTTTTTACAGAAGAGACAGGAAGGGCTGTGGGAAGACAGCACAGAAGGGAACATCAAGAGGGAATATACCAACAAGTGTTGGATGACATATGAACAACCGTGGAGGAGGTGCAGAAGCTGCTAAGTGACCTTGATACCTCAAAGGCGATGGGACCGGACAACATCTCCCCATGGGTCCTTAGAGAAGGAGCAGAGATGCTGTGCATGCCCCTAACCACAATCTTCAACACATCCCTTGAAACTGGGCAACTACCTGATAAATGGAAGACAGCAAATGTAGTCCCCATATTTAAGAAAGGAAACAGAAATGAGGCACTAAACTACAGACCTGTATCTCTGACATGTATTGTGTGCAAAGTCATGGAGAAGATTATCAGGTGGAGAGTTGTGGAACACCTGGAACAGAACAAGATTATAAATGAAAACCAGCATAGGTTCATGGAAGGCAAATCCTGTGTCACAAACCTCCTGGAGTTTTATGACAAGGTAACAGAAGTAAGACACGAGAGAGAGGGGTGGGTTGATTGCGTTTTCCTAGACTGCAGGAAGGCCTTTGACACAGTTCCCCACAAGAGATTAGTGCAGAAGTTGGAGGATCAGGCGCATATAACAGGGAGGGCACTGCAATGGATCAGGGAATACCTGACAGGGAGGCAGCAACGAGTCATGGTACGTGAAGAGGTATTACAGTGGGCGCCTGTGACGAGCGGGTTCCCACAGGGGCCAGTTCTAGGACCAGTGCTATTTTTGATATATGCGAACGACATGATGGAAGGAATAGACTCTGAAGTGTCCCTATTCGCAGATGATGTGAAGTTGATGAGAAGAATTAAATCGGATGAGGATGAGGCAGGACTGCAAAGAGACCTGGACAGGCTGGACATGTGGTCCAGAAATTGGCTTCTCGAATTCACTCCTGCCAAATGCAAAGTCATGAAGATTGGGGAGGGGCAAAGAAGACCGCAGACAGAGTATAGGCTAGGTGGACAAAGACTACAGTCCTCACTCGGGGAGAAAGACCTTTGGGTGACCATAACATCGAGCACGTCACCGGAGGCACACATCAACCAAATAACTGCTGCAGCATACGGGCGCCTGGCAAACCTGAGAATAGCATTCCGATACCTTAATAAGGAATCGTTCAAGACACTGTACACTATGTATGTTAGGCCCATACTGGAGTATGCAGCACCAGTCCGGAACCCACACCTGGCCAAGCACGTCAAGAAGTTAGAGAAAGTACAAAGGTTTGCAACAAGGCTAGTCCCAGAGCTCAGGGGAATGTTGTACGAGGAAAGGTTGAGGGAAATCAGACTGACGACACTGGAGGACAGAAGGGTCAGGGGAGACATGATAACGACATACAAGATACTGCAGGGAATAGACAAGGTGGACAGAGATAGGATGTTCCAGAGAGGGGACACAGAAACAAGGGGTCACAACTGGAAGCTGAAGACTCAGACGAGTCACAGGGACATTAGGAAGTATTTCTTCAGTCATAGAGTCGTCAGGAAGTGGAATAGCCTAGCAAGTGAAGTAGTGGAGGCAGGAACCATACATAGTTTTAAGAAGAGGTATGACAAAGCTCAGGAAGCAGAGGGGGAGAGGACCTAGTAGCGATCAGTGAAGAGGCGGGGCCAGGAGCTGAGTGTCGATCCCTGCAACCACAATTAGGTGAGTACATACATTTAGGTGAGTATACACACACACACACACACACACACACACACACACACACACACACACACACACACACACACACACACACACACACACACACACACACATGGTGGGCCAAGAGCTATGACTCAACCCTTGCAACCACAAATAGGTAAGTACATACATACTCATTTTCTCAATTGCTGTTTAGAAAGAATTATGATGACATTGCACATTATTCAACTGCAACATCTCTGCCCCTTCAGAGTGCAGGCACTGTCCTTCCCACCTCCAGTAATGAAGTCGAGCTAACCAGTTTCCCTTAATCTGTTCAGAAATTTTTACATTGCTCACACTCCAAAAACACATTAAGTCATAAAATTCACTTAGTCTCCACACTGAGCTCATATGAGCATATTGGATGTTAGGTTTCTAGCCCTCAAACCTCCTTTATGCCCCCCCCCCTCCCTCCAACCTTTCCTGAGATGACCCTACCCCTTCTTCATTCCACCCCAGATTTATATAGTACCCATTTAGTCATCCTAATCTGCTCTAGCCTTTTGAAATTCCCACACCACCTCAACAACCCCTCCTCAGCCCTCTGAATTATACTTTTGGTAATTCCTCCCCCACACACATGTATGTCCACCCTCTCCTCACTTAATGATGGGGGTTTCATTTCTAAGAGTAGTAGATCGGTAAGCGAATTGGTTGTTAAGTGAGGAGCATACTATACTGGTACTGGGTTTGTGTCAACCATCTTTGATATTGTTTTAATGTCACCTTTGTACCATTTATAACATTTCTAGTATATTTTTAAATGTTTATACAGCAGTGTACTGTATACTGTAATAAACAGAATAGAGGAAATTGGCTCTAATATACATTATTTAGGTTTGCTTGCTGGTTGGAGAGCTGGTTGTAAGTCTTGAGTGGTCAGTAAACGAGTACATCACTAAGTAAGGAGAGGCTGTACATGTGTGATTTTTGTCTGGTCAAAAGAATCCTTATGAAAAATAATAATTCACTCAATACATGTTGATGAAGTAAATCAAATTCTGTTGCAATATTAAGAAATACGGAGCCTCATTTTATGATCTGAAAAACAATATACATTGTTGCTACGAATTACTCTAAAGAATATTAAAGAATCATTAGTGATCATGCCATTATTAGATTCATTGTGTTTTTTCAGACCAGTAGTAGTGTAGGAGGAAGTGTGACACGTAGCAACACCTCTTCTGCACTGTCCGAGCTTTCAGACTCTCGTCCAAGGACTGCTGCTGTGGATAATGCCTACAAGTAAGTGTCAGAAAAATAAACCCATTCATTATTGTGGGCTTAAAACCTTCAAGTTCATCCAATGTTAGGTAAGTTACTGTATTACTGTTCAAGAGGGAATTGGACCTATGCTCCAATTCCTGGAATTGAGCCTGATTACCTTCTATATCCCCAGGTACTGTATGACCCCTATGGGTTTAGTGCTCTCCTTTGAATATATTTAATGGATTAATTGGGGGGAAGTGGGTGACCAGTAATGGCACTTATGATGTATAGTGAAAAGATTGTTTTGTCACGATTGTAACGATAATGAACAATTCTGTGATCGAAGGACTTTGTCCATTGTTTCCAACTCTATTGACTCAGAGGATTTTGGTCCGTATTTCCAAAGTCCATTAAATGAAGGGCTTACTATATACTGTATGAGAGGCTGTGTTGTGAATTTTCTAAACGCATATAAGGTAGGTAATTAACAGTAATTAACAGGAAGATAATTCCCAAAGCCACTAATAGATATCAGAAAACAGATCAAACTTGAAATTAGTCATACCTACTACTTACTTATTTTTGTTCTCTCTCTCCTCACACTATATCATATATGCACATACAAAAGTGCATTTCTTTATGTTAAGAATATGTAAAATGCTCTATATGTAAGAAAATTTTTCTAACAATTGAAACCTATGATAGAAATATTTGCAACTTTATTTATACAGAAAGAACTACACACACACCTTGACTTACGAGTGCCCCAACTTATGAGTTTTCTAAGTTACGAGCCGTCACTCGGTTGATTTTTTTGCTTTGAGTTGTGAGCCAAAACTGAGTTACAAGCGAGCTTCAGATCCGCTGCCACTAGCTGGCACAGTGAACGCCACAACATCTGCCCAGCATCCCAGCGTTTTGTGCTTTTTGTGCAGTTATTTTGCCAAATTTCTTTTTTCTAACCATGGGTCCTAAGAAAGTAAGTGCAAAGGACAGTGGTGAGAAGAAGAGGATGATGTCCATTGAATTAAACCATGAAATCATAGAAAAACACGAGAAAATCACTTTTGCTTCACTGTTTTCCTTATGAAACTAGTGATCTAGTGCAGTTAGCCTCACAAACACTCCATTTTCTCTTATAATAAGACCTCAAAAGGACAAGAATGGGAAGACATGGTCAGAGTGATAATTATTTTTACCTCGGGAGTGGCCGCCACCACTTATCATATAATGACATATTTTATTCATTCTAAAATATATATCATGTTTCTATGTTATTTATACTGTTTATTATGTCAAATTAGATTAATTTTGATAGATAAATAATCTGTAGAGTTGATATTAGCGTTATATTGAAGTATTTTCTCCTGCCTCCCAAGAGCCAGAAATTCCGCTGGAATGGATTAATGGCATTTCAGTTAATTTCAATGAAGAAAATTCATTTGATATACGACCAAATTGTGTCACAAGCTTGGTCACAGAATGAATTAAACTCATAAGTCAAGGTACCACTGTATTTGCATGTATATCCTACAAATTTATATACCCAAGATAAGTTGTAATAAGCAACTGTCAGTGTATATATGGAAGAATAGACTGAGACACAAGCCCTTGCCGTTATATGACAATGACAATGTTTATTTCCTTGTAAAGCTTACAATATGTGGTTGACATGTTATAAAGTATTAATTACGAAGAAGGCCATTAGCATGCCTAGGCATTTCGGGCAGATTAATACTAATTCTTACTCTGTATTGATATACATTATAGAGAAGTACATTTGAACATACATTACACTGGTCTGCATTTGGAATGTTTTTAATTTTTATTTTTATTCATATTCTTGGGCTGCTGATTGTAAATATCTAAACCATTTTGCTCTATCACTTAAGGATTTTGAATAAAATACAAATTAATGATAAAAAATGTGAATTAGACAAGTAATCATGGAAAATGCACATTCTGTTAGTTTTAAGAACATATGAATTCCAAATAAACATGAATCAAATCAAATGATTTTATTAAAAAAATATGCTCCTAATGGTTAGCCTACATATTGAATCAAAGGAAGGAGGAGCGCTTCGATTTTCGCTTGTGCTGTGCATCGAGACCATTATGTTTCAGTTATCAGCAGTAATCTGCCATCATGCTGACATTCCATTTGCCCTAGTATCGAGTTTCCATGGTGCAAATATCCTGATGGAACCACTCTCCTTGTTTTTTCTCACTGTAGTCCCCACAATTATTGGGAAAATAGTCAAGATGAGTGCAAAAAGTGCATCTTCATACTCATTCTAAACAAAAGTTGTTGAAAACTTGAAATCAGGTCTTGGATCATTTTTTCATATTCGGGGGAGCGCCTGTTTCCCAGGAAGTTGTGGACAATCTGCTTGAATGAAAACCAGGCATTCACCTCGACACCTGCTAATGCTTCATCAAAATGCTTGTCCTTCATCAATTCCCAAATCTTGAGGGCCAACAAAGATTCCTGTTAAATTTTAGCTTATCTTCATTTATATGAGAAAACTTTGACTCCAGGTACTTGAAAGCAGTTCCATTCTTGTTCAAAGCCTTCACAAAAATTTCATAAGTCCTAATTTGATGTGGAGTGGTGGCAGCAGAATTTTCTTGGGGTCAACTAGTGGCATGGTTTTCACATGATTTCCAGGTAAGAAGCTGGTTCTTGGTGGCCAGTCTTTTTGTTCATAGTGCTGGCTGTCTGCCCTACTATCCCAAAGACACAGAAAACAGGGATACTTGGTGTATCTGCCTTGAAGACCTAGTAGGAGAGCAATAACTTTTAAATCACCACAAATGAGAAAATTGTGATTCTGGTACTTGATTGCAGATATTAATGTCTTCATATTTGCATAAGTTTCTGACATTTGGACACTATGGCCAACTGACATAGATGCAGCTGTGTTGCCATTGTAGAGAAGTACAGCCTTTAAACTTCTTTTAGAAGAATCAATGAAGAGTCTCCATTCATCTGCTTTGTATAACATCCCCATGTGTTCAATAAGGCCAGAAATATTTTAACAGAAAACTAAAGATTCCTCTTTGTCAAAGAACTGAGTGAATTCTGCTTCATGATAACAGTACAAAGCGAATGTTGTTCCAGGAGCTAGAATCCTGTGTTCCTTCAGTCTAGAGCCAAGTAACTGCACTTTCTTTTGGAAGGTTAAGGTCTCTCACCAAGTCATTGAGTTCAACTTGGTTGAAGGATTTGGGATCGTCATTTGTTGGTGGTTCATAGTCTACTTCCATCTCCTTAGAATCACTGGTATCAGACTCTGATGAAATTTGTCATGTCTCAGGTGTCACAGGTACAGGAATATCGTTAGTGTGGAACAGACTTTATTGCTGAAGGAATACAGTGGCACCCCGGTTTTTGTCCTTAATCCATTCCAGAAGGTCTGTCGAAATCCGAAATGGACGAAAACCGAAGTAATATTTCCCATAAGAAATAATGTAAATCCAATTAATCCGTTCCAGACACCCAAAAATATTAACAAAAAATACATTTTATAGAGAATAACTATAATTTTACATACATAAAACAATTAGAAGTAAATATAAAGCACTATTTTCAATGGATAAATGAACATTGAAATCACTATTACATACCTTTTTTGAAGACTCTTGTTTTCATATGGAAGAAGGTAAGGAGGGGAGAGAGAGGAGAGGTTATTGTTTGGTAGGGGAATCCCCTTCCATAAGGACCTCAGGTATCAAAGCCCTATCCAGGGTTACCTCCCTTCTTTGTCTTTTACTGGCACTGGGACCAGCTTGAGTCACTGCACCCCCTGTGTCACAAAACATCTGTTCAGAGAGGCCTGTTTCTGGCATCTCTTTAAGATTTGCCTAAAACGGGACAAGGCATTGTCATTGAACATGTTGCAGACACAGATTGCAAAAGTTTTGTTAGGGTGATAATTCTCCGCAAAACTTTGCAACTTACTCCACTTTGCACACACGTCCTTAATCACTGAAGAAGGCACAATCTCACCAGGATGGAACTGATTGTTGATTTGGACTTCCCATACATCCTGGCGAGCTCGGCCACACGTACACCACTTTTGTATTTTGATACAAGCTCTTTCTTCAATTCTATCGTGTTTCTCACCTTCTTTACCAAAGGGCTGGCACTCTGAACTTTCTTTGGCCCCATGGTGGCTTATTTCGCAGTTGCACTCAATAAATAAGCACCAAAAACAATGGATGAACACTTGGCGTATTGTTCACTCAACTGACTGAGTCAGGTGGTGGCATCCCGGGTGGGCAGATGAGTCTGATACGGACGATTTCTTGAGTCGATGTACGAAATCTAGAGTAAAAATTTGCCCAAAAAAGTGGTTGAAATCCAAATTGTACGATATTCAGACAAGATGAAAACTGGAGTTTTACTGTATTTGGATATATTGTGTGATCTTCAGTCTTCTTGTTGAATACACAAATAACCCGCACATATTTGTGTATCGTTCCAGTCACGGTATTGTGCCTTTTTTTGTTATTTATTTCTTGTTGAACTGAGCTACTTTAGTCATACAAAAGTAGCAGTCATCATGGTGGTTTATCTGCTTCTGCCATACCATTGGTACTCCAAAAGGCATAAATTTAAGTTTTCCAACTGACCACATTTGGAGCTTACTGATGCAACTCTTGCAAGCTTTGTGTGGTGCAAATGATTTGTCCTGGTCTCCAAGTTTTTAGCCAAAATAAGCAAAGTAGCAGCGCTTCAATAAAGGAGTGATGTTGCTCCGGGAATTCGAAGGGGTGAATTGCCCGCAGACATAGCAAAATATGTCTGGTGAATTTATGCAGCCTTTAGACATATTAAATAATCTGAAAATAAATAAAAATAGATTTAACATTTAAGTCAATATAAGGTAAGCATTTTAATTGGTAATATACAGTGGCAGCTCATAGCACCAGTAATACCTATACATGTACTATCATACCGCATCAAACTTCTATTTTTAATAAATTTTATCTCGTTTCAAAAAAAAAAAAAAAATTCACTTATATATATATCCTGTAGCATATTTGTCAGTTGCAAATTATTTTAGCGTAAGGTTGATGAAGCATACGTCTGGCAGTGAGTATCTGGGGACTCTGCAGCTCTGCAGCTCCTATGGACGAGCCACCACTGGTAATATACCACTTTCTCATTTACTTATGTGAGAAGAGAAAAAGTAATGTTTCCATATAACTTGACAACCTGGTGTGATAGAGATGAATAAAAAACACAATGAATCACTATTTTCCATATATATACTGAAAAAGATGCCATAGACTCAGTAAAAAAAAGTCATGCAGACCAATGTTATTAGATACATACATAATTAGATACATACATAATTAGATTTATAATAGTGAGGTAGTATAAATATAGTATAACAATATTACAAATGGTAAATTTAGTAATGGGATTGGATTTGTTTTGGGATGATACACTGTTTTTATTAAAGCTTCTATATTGGAAGAGTATATTACGCAAACTTAGGGCTAACTTAAGATTTAATAGGCAATAGCTATATTATGAATTTTATGTTTAGTCATTTGGGTGAGTCTTTGTGTAAATTAGGGGGAATTACAGATAACGAGAGTAAGACTATATTGTTATGGATGTGTTTATGATACAAAAAATGAGAATTAGGTGGTTTTCATTTGGTTAGCTGAGGATGAGGTGTGCCAGGGAGATAAGATGTTTTTTAACAGTAGTTTTGGAAATGGTGGTTGAGTCTGCAGTTCTTGAGTTTTCAGGTAGGGAGTTCCAGATTTTAGGTTGGACACAAGGAATGTCATAGAGATTTTTGTGTCTGGTATTGTGTCTCTGGGTCCAGTTGCAACTATCAAGAAAGTGTTTTAGTTCGGGGTTAATATTAGAATTTGTGGTTCAGTAGATGTAGGTTGCACAGCAATAAGTGTGAATGTTCTGTACAGTGAGTAGGTTTAGATCTTTGAAGAGCGGGGGGAAGGGTATTGTTTAGCATTGGATTGCATGATAATTCTTACTGTGGCTTTCTGTTGGGTTATTATTGGCTTTAGGTGAGTTGCTACTGTTCATCTCCAGGCACAAATAACATAGGTGAGGTAGGGATAGATGAGTGAATAGTATAGTGTGAGTAGGGCTGATTGTGGTACGTAGTAACATATCTTGGAGAGGATCTCAACTGTTTTGGATACTTTTTTTGTTATTTGTTGGATATGGGTGTTGGGTTTCAGGTTGCTGTCAAGGTGCAGGTCCAGGAATTTGCCCTCATTACATTTAGCAATTAGAGTGTTGTTAATCATTATGTTCAGCTGGGCAACACCTGTTCTGTTCCCAAACATTATGTAGAAACTTTTGTCAGTATTAAGTGTAAGTTTATTAGCAGTCATCCAGTCAATATTTTTATAAGCTCTTTGTTAACAGTAGTGTTGAGTGAGGCAAGACTAGGGTGGGAGATGACATAATTTGTGTCGTCAGCAAAGAGAATAGGTTTAAGGTGTTGCGATACATTAGGAAGATCATTGATGTATAAGAGGAAGAGCAGGGGACCAAGGACACTTCCCTGCGGTACTCCAGTATCCAGTGGTCTTGTTGATGAGGTTGTGTCCTTAACCCTTTCAGGGTCCAGAGGCCAGATTTCAAAGTGTGCACCAGGGTCCAAGAATTTTCAAAAAATAATTTTATTTTTTCATATGAAATGGTAGAGAATCTTTTTCCTGAAGGTAATAAAACAAAAAGTACGAAATGTTATGGAAAATTGACGAAATTATGCTATCGTGAATTTTGATGTGTCAGCGATATTTACGAATCGGCGATTTTGCCAACTGTGACTCCCATTTTAGGCCAATTACATTATTCCAGTCGATCAAATATTTAGCTATTTCACTAGTATTACAGTACTTCTGTTCTATCGATTGAGCACAAGAAATCTTCAAGTCAACTGTTTCAACTGCAAAATAAAGCGATTGGAAATTGGTAATTTGGCCAATTTAATGCAAAATTCAAAATATTCTAATTTCAAAATAGGGTCCAGAATAAACAATGCAGACATTCCTGGCACTAAACTAACATTTCCTCTGTTCATTAGTTATGTTTTCAGGCTTTACAAATGAATTCCATTTTGAATTTTTATTCACATAATGAATTTTTATTCAAACCAAAAAATAGAAGATTTACTGTTATGCAGTATTGTAATAATTGTATAAATAATATCACCACATTTGTAAACGTATATTAGACCCACCAGCTGGCGTGTATTAGATGTGTATTTGTTTACTCTTGAACATCGGCAAAAATTTAACATTTCTGCTACTTTGAGCTCAGTTTCAAGCCATTTCCAGTATTAAAACCAAAATCATCTCTATTTCTGTAATATATCTTCCATTCTATCAAATGAGATCAAGAAATCGCAAATACATGTACAACTATAAAAAACACAAAAAAACACTGCAAAGTCGCTGTTTTAATCGAAAATTACGGTCTTAGTTTTTTTCTCTTATAATGCACTGTGTGCTGCAGGATTTGTTTTATGTGGTGCACACATACCACATAGATGTATTCTCTCATATCTAAGCCCAAATTTACTGCTCACAGCTTAGAGTGAACTGAGCTCATGGCATAGATCTACGGTTTGAACCCTCAACTTAAAGCTATAGAACTACGGCACGGACCCTGAAAGGGCTAATAGAGACGTATTGATGCCTGTTAGTAAGATAGGATTTGAAATATGTATGTGCGTGGATGAATTTGGTAGGGTGTGCAAAAGAAGAAAATTAAAAGTGAATACAGGAAAGAGTAAGGTTATGAGGATAACAAAAAGATTAGGTGATGAAAGATTGGATATCAGATTGGAGGGAGAGAGTATGGAGGAGGTGAATGTATTCGGATATTTGGGAGTGGACGTGTCAGCGGATGGGTCTATGAAAGATGAGGTGAATCATAGAATTGATGAGGGGAAAAGGGTGAGTGGTGCACTTAGGAGTCTGTGGAGACAAAGAACTTTGTCCTTGGAGGCAAAGAGGGGAATGTATGAGAGTATAGTTTTACCAATGCTCTTATATGGGTGTGAAGCATGGGTGATGAATGTTGCAGCGAGGAGAAGGCTGGAGGCAATGGAGATGTCATGTCTGAGGGCAATGTGTGGTGTGAATATAATGCAGAGAATTCGTAGTTTGGAAGTTAGGAGGAGGTGCAGGATTACCAAAACATGTTGTCCAGAGGGCTGAGGAAGGGTTGTTGAGGTGGTTCGACATGTAGAGAGAATGGAGCGAAACAGAGTGACTTCAAGAGTGTATCAGTCTGTAGTGGAAGGAAGGCGGGGTAGGGGTCGGCCTAGGAAAGGTTGGAGGGAGGGGGTAAAGGAGGTTTTGTGTGCGAGGGGCTTGGACTTCCAGAAGGCATGCGTGAGCGTGTTTGATAGGAGTGAATGGAGACAAATGGTTTTTAATACTTGACGTGCTGTTGGAGTGTGAGCAAAGTAACATTTATGAAGGGGTTCAGGGAAACCGGCAGGCCGGACTTGAGTCCTGGAGATGGGAAGTACAGTGCCTGCACTCTGAAGGAGGGGTGTTAATGTTGCAGTTTAAACTGTAGTGTAAAGCACCCTTCTGGCAAGACAGTGATGGAGTGAATGATGGTGAAAGTTTTTCTTTTTCGGGCCACCCTACCTTGGTGGGAATCGGCCAGTGTGATAATAATAAAAAAAAAAAATAATGTGTGTGGCCTCTTATGCCATAATGATCAAGTTTGTGGCATAGGATGCTGTGGTCTACTGTATCAAAAGCTTTCCTTAGGTCAATAATGGATATGTAATATTAGAACATAATAAAGAAGGAATGCTGCAGCAGGCCTACTGGCCCATGTATAATACTGTAGTTTCAAAATAATGTATCGCAGTGAGAGGAGGATGAGCTGTCTGATAAATTAGTTTAGGTGTGTTTCTCAAAACATAACCTATTTGGGCATGATCCTTGAAAGTGTCACTTTCTAAAAAATTCTAATTTATCGAGTACCATTGCTTATGGTTTACTGCAATACACACATTTTCTTGAAACAGGCGACGCAGTTACCCAGCTCGCAGTGACATAACAGAGGGAAGTGGTGGACGCCCCATTCGATTTGCTGTTCGTTCCCTTGGCTGGGTGGAAATTGCTGAGGAAGACCTTACTCCAGAGCGATCTTCCAAAGCTGTCAATCGGTGCATAGTTGATCTGTCCGTTGGGAGGCGTGATGTTTTGGATGTGGTTGGATGCTGGGGAGATGTGAGTTTTGTGCAGTATTGTTTTGACAGATTTGTATAAACTACTTATGAGTTTAGCTAATTCAAGTCTTTCATTGGGCATATTTTTTTGTTACATTTTGATTAATTTAGTAATAAATTTTTTTTTCCTTATGAAAATGAGTGATCTGAACACACATCTCCATACATAGGAATAGAATCTAAAAAAAAAAAAAAATTTTTTAACATTTGGAGTATACTCCAAAGAAGGTTCAGTCAATACAGTGATTGTCGTAAGTAATTTTTTGTAAATATAATATTTATTTTGTTGGCCCAGATATATAAGGAATTATGTATTAATATGCAAAAATTATGAAATGTTGGTGGACACACACATATAGCATATTGAAAAAACAACATACATGTTTTATATTGTTTCCATTGTCAGGGAAAGGATTTGTTTATGGATTTGGATGAAGGTTCCTTAAAATTGGTTGATCCAGAGAATCTGACTGTACTAAATACTCAACCCATTACACTATTCGTGTCTGGGGTTTGGAGGACAAGGGCCCAGGTGAGGAAGCTATTTTCATTTGTTTGTAAGGGACAGAAATTTAAAAAAAAGTAAAATTAAAATAAGAGTTTGATACTGGGTAGGTTGATGAGTTTCTGTAAATGAACCTTTAAACCCTTGACTGTCGAAAACCCCAATCCTGAGTGTTCCGGTGTCGCAATTAAAAAAAAAATATTATTTTTTTTATGAAATGATAGAGAATCTTTCCGATTGTAATGACACCAAAAAAATGAAATTTGATGGAAAACTGACGGAATTATGCTCTCGCAAGTTAGCGACCTCGGAGCTGTTTACAAATCGGCGATTTCGCCCACTTTAAAGCCCTATTTTCGGCTAATTCCATTGTTCCCAGTCGCCCAAACTCATAGCTATTTCTTAGAACTACATTTTATCTATCGACTGAATACAAGAAACTGCCCATTTACTGATTTCAACTGATTTACTGATTTTCAACCTAATAATGTGGTCAGAAATTTGCAATTTTGGCCATATCATGAAAATAAAAAATATGACAATTTCAAAATAAGGTCCAGAATGAACAATGCAGATATTCCTGGCTCTAAAATAACATTTTCTTTGTTCATCAGTCACGTCTCCAGGCCCTTCTGATATTACTCTTGCTTTCTATTTTGAAATTTTTTTATTCAAACAAAAAAATTAACTTACTATTAGCGACATTCAATGCGTAATAACTGTATAAAACACAACCCATTCTAACTGCTTTAGAATGCTAGTTGGACATTTTTTGGAAATTGGCATCATTTTTTTACTTTTGAATTTTGGCAAAAATCAAACATTTCCCTACTTTGGCCCCATTTCTGGGTTCTTTTTTAGTAAAATCAATCAAAATCACCTCTATTTCTGAAATATTTTTTCTTCTATCAAAGAGAAAAGAAAACGAGAATACAACCATAAATACATAAAAAAGCCCAAAAAAGTGGGCATTTTAATTTAAAAAAACGGTCGGAGTTTTTTTTTTCTCATTATGCACTGCGTGCTCCAGGATTTTTTTTATATGGTCCACACTGACCACACAGACCCACTCTCTCACATGTGGGCCTACCAGGTTTCTCCTGCTTGTTTTTGAAGCCGCTAAAATTTTATGAGATATATCGTCAAACCGGGCCCCACCTCGTAAAACGTATATATAAGGCCGCGACAGTCAAAGGGTTAAATCAATTTATCTGTATTTTATATCAAGTATTGTTAAAATTCAGACTAAAAAGAACATGGTCCATTTGTAGCTTGAAGCTAAACGGATAATATTTTATATTAGTCATGTGTTTTACAAGGAAATAAATACTTAAATTATTAAATATTATTATCAAATATGGTTATAAAATTTCCAGAATCTGTAATTTTTTCACTTTTTTTTTTTTTTCATTAACTGTTGATTCAGACTTGAAACTCTAAGGACTTATGTCATCTTATTTTCTCCCTCTTGACCGCTGCGTGGCTCACCTGTCTCACAGGGAGAGGTAATAGTCTTTTAAATTCATCTGCAAGCATGGGCTCATACGCAGATAACACTACCCTGTTCTGTGATGAATTATTCAGAGAAGCTGTGACTAATTTTATATATATTTTTTTTTTTTCAACAAGTCGACCGTCTCCCACCGAGGCAGGGTGACCCAAAAAAGAAAGAAAATCCCCAAAAAGAAAATACTTTCATCATCATTAACCCTTTACCACACTCACCATTATCACTGTTTTTGCAGAGGTCTCAGAATACAAAAGTTTAAAGCATATACTATAAAGATACCAACATATCCCCCAAAATGCCAATATGCCAAAAACCCCCCCTTAAAGTGCAGGCATTGTACTTCCCCTTTTTAGGCCCAAACCGACTAAGAAAATAAAGGTTTTTCCCGAATCCCTTTACTAAATATTACCCCGCTCCACCCCAAAGTCGTCAGGTCCCAATATCATTCTCTCCACTCACTCCTATCTAACCGCTCGCACGCTTGCTGGAAGTCCAACCCCTCACCCACAAAAAACCTCTTTTCCCCCCCTTTTTCCCAAACCCTTTTGGGATGACCCCCACCCCTCCTTCCTTCCCCTATAGTTTTAGCTTTTTCCCGTCATTCTACTTTGACCATTTTTTTCTAAAAGCCAAAAAATGCCCCAACAACCCTCTTCTGCCTCTGACTAATGCTTTTTTTAACTCCACACCTTCTCCTAATTTCCACATCCGAATTTTCTGCATAAATTTACACCAACATGCCCTTTGACAGGACATCTCCACTGCTCAACCTCTCCTCGCGCTATTTACCACCCCAAACTTCATATATATATTTTTTTTTTTTTTTTTTTTCAACAAGTCGGCCGTCTCCCCCCAGGCAGGGTGACCCCCAAAAAAAAAGAAAAAACCCCAAAAAAAAAATACTTTTTCATCATTTAACACTTTACCACACTCGCAATTTCACTGTTTTTTCAGAGGTGCTCAGAATACAACCCTTTGAACAAAAAATTAAAGATACACAACAATCCCTCCAAACGCCAAATTTCCCCAAAACCCCCCCTTTTTAAAAGGGAGGATTGTACTTCCCATTTTCCGGGCTCAAGTCCGACTATTGAAAATAACCCGGGTTTTCCCCGAATCCCTTCACAAAAAAATTACCCGCTCACCTCCCAAAAGTCTCAGGGGCCCAAGACCATTGTCTCATTCATCCTATCTAACACGCTCACGCAGCTTGCGGGAAATCCAAGCCCCCACCCACAAACCTCCTTTACCCCCCCTCTCCAACCCTTTCGAGGACACCCCTACCCCGCCTTCCCCCCCTTAAGATTTATATTCTTTTCCCTGTCATTCTACTGTGATCCATTTTCTCTAAAGACCAAACCACCCCAAAACCCTCTTCTGCCCTCTACTAATCTTTTATTAACTCACCCTCTCCCAAATTTTCCCCACTCCCCAATTTTCTTTAAATATTTACACCAACTTGCCCTTAAACAGGACATCTCCACTGCCTCCAACCGTCCCTCGGGTGCTGCATTTTTCCACCCCAAACTTCACACATATAAAGTGTTGGTACTACTATACTTTCATACATTCCCTTCTTTGCCTCCATAAAAAGTTTTTTTTTACTCCCCATAACCTCAACGCACCCCCAAAACCTTTTTTCCCTCTCAATTCATGATTAACCTCATCCCTTTTAAATCCATCCCCCCCGACACTCAACTCCCCAAATTCCCGAAAACATCACTTTTTCCTACCCTCCCCCCCAATTTGATACCAATTTTTCTTTTTCTAAATCATTTTACCCCATCACCTTAATTTTCTAGTTCACTTTCAAATTTCTACCTTTTAAAACATTCCCAAACTCATCCACTAACCTTTTTCAATTTTTTCTTTTGAATCTCCCATAAGCACAGATCATCGCAAAAAATAAAATGTGTCAATTCCCATTT